ATTACATTAAAGACCCAACAACTTGTTGCATCCACTTGACCACTGGAATAGAATGTTATATATGCTTGCGACAGCCACAGTGGTTTTATTACAATGAGAGACAAGGTGACCAACCAGGACTGACACTCTTACCAGAGTGCAGTCCGTCCTAAACAACACATTTATGGGGTTTTTATAGGGGCAGTTTATAATGGTGTGCATGGTGTAACAGGAGGAGAGATGCCATTCATTCTCTGCTTTTCTCAGCTAAACAGCTTATGCCTGTCCATTTTCTGGCCCAGCTAAGACAATCAGACTCAGGCCTTGGTTTCTGAATTGAAAGTCATCTGTGCTGAAGATCACATAAGCAGTACAGACTGCCAGTCCACACAGCTAAACAAGCAAAGCAGAAGTGCTAAACAAGCAAAGCAGAAGTGCAGGAAGTATTGCAATTTTAGAAATAAGCCATGCTTACTCCAATTTGTGACTGGATTCCACAAACCCAGCCTAAAATCCTGAGAAGCCACCACTGCACTCTCTGAGTCAGTGATCTTCTGAAAATTCTCTTCTAGTGTTCATCACTGTGGCATGGTGGGTAGAGGTTCTGTGACATCAGCTTTCAGTATGGGCACTGGTTCAAATCCCAGATGCTCCACTTCTGATCCAGCACCCTGCTAATGGCCTAAAAAAGCAGCCTCAGATAGCCCTAGAACTTAGGCTTCTTAGCCAAGTAAGAGATCCAGAAGAAACTCCCGGATTCAGAATGGCCCAGGTCCAGATGATGTGATAATTTGGGGAGTAAACCAGAGGATGAAAAGTCTCTCTTTCTCTTCTCTCTCTTTCTCATTCTCCCCCACCCCCTCTGTAACTCTTACTTTCAAATAAAATAAATGTTTCATTAAAAAAAAAAAGTCTCTTGTTGTGTCTTTGTTAAACTGCCTGAGAACACTTGGTATCCAAGTTACAAAGTAGCAGGGGAGGTGTTTGCTTTGCTGAAGCATCAGCTAACTTCTTCCCTCTTGTTGCTTCAGAATGTCCCTTTTCTTTTTCTCTCTCTCAGCAACAAATAAGGCTTTAGGCTTCAGTCTGGACCAGCCTGGGAACTTGTCTTACTTGGTTTCTTTTTGTCACTGTCATGCAGGATTCCGCTTCTTTTCCAGATGGCTTCCTTTGCATGAAGCAGTGAGAAGGCACATCCGGAGTCAGCATAGATATTACAGTCTTTCCTGTTGCCAATTGTAGTGCCCTCATCATGACTATTATTTCTGTCTTTTGTGCACACATCCCAGGAGAGACTCTAAGATTTAACAGTCCCACAGAAACACAATTGGATATTCTGAATCCACTAGCAATCAAAATAAAACTAACATCTACAAGCATATATCTTCCATGTTCAGCAGATGCTTAATTTCAAGGTCTTTGATACTAGGATATACCCTGTGTGCTACTTCAGAACAGTCATGTGTTGAGTCCAGAGAAATTGACAGCAATGTAGTGGAGTTCAGAACCTAGCCCTCTTTTGGAATAACGCTTGCAGTATCCAATACCAAAGATGGCCACTACATTAGTAGGCAGAAGGATTTTCTTCTTATTGCTTCTGTAACTAATTTGTGGAAGAGCTTATTGCATGCTTTTCAGTAGCATATTCCTGCAATGTTCCAATCTTTTTATGTCTTTTCACATACTGAACTCCCAGTTTGAAGTCATCACTTGAAATGATTCTTCAGTCAGCCTCCAAGCCCAGGTTATTACGTTAATTATCAACTACTTCTCAGCTTCCTCCCTAAACTTGAGTAGCTCAACTAACTTTTTCTCTGTTGTCCCCAGATGGATAACTTCAGTTGGACATCTACCCACCCAGGTTGAGTTAGATATAGAAATACTCCCTATCACTGTATTCCTCAGGGTTTACTTTCATAGTCTTAACATGTGCTTTGTAATTATACACATCAGAAGTGGTGATGACAGAAGATTCTCTCTCTCTCTTTCTGTCTTTCTGTCTTTAATACTAATTTTCAAATAAATTAATAATTCAAGAAAAGTGTTTATTCTGCCTACATTAGAAGGAGGATTCTGTATGTTTGTTAGGTCAATTAGTGGTACTCTTAATCAAGCCTTCTCTTTCCTTATTGATCATCCATCTAGAAGCTAATTCATTACTGGAAATGAACTATTAAAATATTCTACCTTTATTATGTGGTCATTTATTTCTCTCTTGATTTTCTTAGCATTTGCTATAAATATTATAGTTCTCTGTTTTTGAGCATATTCGTGTTTATGATTATATCTCCCTGGTGATTTAGGGATGTCATCATTATGTAACTTTGTTCATTGACTGCTGGGACAGACTATGACATAAAAATCTATTTTCTTCTTTTGTAATTATACAATCTCTGCTCTGTTTGGTTTAGTATTTACATGGAATTTATTTTCTATCATTTTAATTTTTGCCATGTGTTTCCTTCAATCCAGCATGAACTTCTCAGCATATAAGTAGTTGTCCTTTTTCTACTCATTTATTCTTTGCTTTCTGAATAAGTAATTTAATATATTAATGTACAAAGTTATTGTTGATAGGCAAAGACTTATATTATCATTCTGAAAAGTATACTTTCTTCATGATATAACTCTCTTTTCTGTTCCTGCCTCCCTTTCTGCTTCATACAGTTGTTTTCATTAATATGCTTTCACTGTTTTTTCACATACTCCATAGGTATTTTGTTTGTTACTGCTTTGCTGTTCCAGAAGCATTTTAGCCACAATAAGCTGATAACAAATTAACTTCCATCACATAAAATTTCTACACTTTTACTTCCCCTACAAACAGATACTTTATTTTGGCTATGTTAGAAATTGTGTCTATCTATATCATATAGAATTGAGCATATTCTGCAGTCGTATTTACTTATGCTTTGGTTTTCTTCTATATTTTGATTAAAAGTGACATGTTCAACTACACAGTACCCTTTTATTTAACCTAAATTTAACCTGCTACAGAAGAAGTGTTTTTCTAAGTATTCTAACAATGCCTCTTGCATTAATAGGTATTTCCACTCTGATTGGTGTTAGCAAGTTCCAGGAATTATTCAGCCTGATCTTTTCTGGGATCTTTTCCCAATTTTATTGAAATCTCTTCATATTTATTTGTTAATCAAAATGCAGCAAATTAGGACAAATTTTTTAATTCTTCCAGGATTCTTTCTCTATGCAATTCTTGATGTTGGAATTGGTTTTAATGAGATGATTTTATTTATTTTAAGATTTGTTTATTAAAAGTGCAGAGTGATAGAGAAAAAGAGAGAGAGAGACATCTTGCATGTACTGATTCAACTCTCCAAATGGCTGCTGCAACCATAGCTTCACTAAGCTAAAGACATAAGCCAGCACTTCCGTTTGGGTCTGCCATGCAGGTTGCAAAGCTTCAAGTACTGCAATGTTAACTGCTATTTCTGAAATGCCTTTTCAGAGACATGGAACCAAAATAATTTCCTAAGACTCAAACTAGCACTGAAATATGGATGTCAGCATTCCAAACAGCAGTTTGGCCCACTTTGCCACAATCCCCACCTCCCTGGTATTATTGTTTTTCCCCTTGCCCCTTCCAATCTCAACTAAGTCTCTTCAATTAAAGCAGATTGCCTATTTGTTGTTATGTCACACCCTCCCTTCCTGCCTTTTTTTTTTTAATTCATTCCAACTAATAAGCACAAAAAATCAGATTTCGTCTTTCTTTCTCCTTCACTCTGGGACTACCATTCTGCAGCATCTAAAACATTTTGTCTTGTGTTTTGTCCATTGTTTTAGTTGCTCAAAGACAAAGAATCAATCCAAATGATTGCATCATCTCACCCTATTTGATTTTCTGGTCTCAGAATCATCCATTTGATTCAATTCCAACCACACTGTAGCATTTGCATTTTATTAAACCATACCGTGTATGGTCGTGTGAGTACCCAGGCAGGCGTGCTTTTCCACCTGGTGGTTTACTGGCTTGCTTCATTTCTATCACATTTTCACTCTTCTGCATAGATGGGTTGGAGGATAATCCCTGCACACAGTCGTAATATTGAAAATTTCATCCCCACACACTTCTGCTTTCTTTTTCCAGTTCAGCTTTATTTTTTTAGTGCCTATCACCATCGAACTAACTATATATTTTAAATGAACATCTTTGTTATGTCTCTCCACGCGCCTCTGGAATAAATTTTATGAAGCCTTAAATTTTTCTTTTGTTCAAAAATTTACTCTAACACCTAGAAAAGTTCTTGACATTTATTAGGTATACAATAGTTATTTGTTAAATCAAGTGCACTGATATATTAACATTTGTCCACAAATCATTTTCACATGAGGATATCCTAAAATATTTGTGGAAACAAAATTTGAAAGTAAATTGCTTTGGTAGGCCCAAACTTGAAACTGACACACAGTAAAGGCTTTCCAAAAGATCATGGAAAATTCTTAATTATAAAACTACGCGTAGATTTCCAAAAAATGTACTAACGTAGACTTAACTTTTAGTCTACCTTCAAAAATATTTTGAAGGTCCCAGTGTTTATTAGATAAAAAATGATTAAAAAAAACCATATAACTGATTGTGCAAGATATTTTCACAGCTCTCTTTAGATCCTAAACTCATCTTAAAAAATTTAACATGAATGTGAAGAGATGTCACAGGAGGAAGGTGGAGAAACACAGAAATATGCAAATACATGGCATAGTCAGGAAACAAAAAGGACAGCAAGTATTGGTGTGATAATATCTGTGTGAGATTTTTAATAAGAAGGAAGAGGGAAATAAAATTTATCTTGAATCAAAAATCAGCTCCTGGCACAGTTCCTTTTATCATGTCCTCAATCGAACTATGTTGAAGTACTCCTTGGAATTTGTAGAACAAAATTCAGAAATAAAACCTCGAATCTACTTCTTAGAATTCAGAGACCTTTCTTGGCCTCTTAAACCACACAATTACCATATTGTGGACAAACAGGATTTAAATAGCTTTAAAATGACACTTGCAGATCAACTGCGTCCGATCCTTTCATCTTCCATTTGGAAAGCCAGGTAATATTTTATATTTTCCCTCTCTTACTATATAAATATGAAACAGTCTTTCAAAGTCTAATGTTCTTCTGCACAAAAAGTCAAAATCTTGAAGGTGACAAATTTTAGGATACATTTAGTGAAAAATAATCATAATTAATATACATTTGATTCATCTGCCTTCAATTTTAAACATATTTAAATATTTAATACTTCATTGTTATACTGTTTGATGAAATGCTGAAATCAGAATCAAGACAATCAGGTTTCCAAGTATCTAGAGACTACTTTTATTTGAGACCTGGACTACCTCATCTGAAAACTAGAAATAAAAATACTTGCAAATTGTGCTGCACAGAAATTCTGGGGATTAAACATAATATTATAAAATGTTTCCCACAGCATTTGTCACATAGCAGCTGCTTAATAACTGCAGTTTCTTTAAACCACCTTCCCCACCGTATTAGTCATATATCTGATTAAGAACTAGCATTATCCCACTCTCTCATTTTCCATCTACATTAAATTCTAACTCTAAGCAAAACTTGTTGGAAAACAGTTACATAGAATATATTTAATTCACATACTTAATTAACATCTTTCAATTTTTTAAGGATGCATTCATTTTTTATTAGAAAAGCAGATATACAAAGAGGAGTAGGGACAGAGAGGAATATCTTCTGTCCCATAGTTCACTCTCCAAGCCACCACAATGACTGGAGCTGAGCCAATTCAAAGCTAAGAGCCAGGAACTTCCTCCGGGTCTCCCACACAGGTGCAGTGTCCCAAGGCTTTGGGCCATCCGTGACTGCTTTTCCAGGCCACAAGCAGGGAGCTGGATGCGAAGTGGGGCTGCCAGGATGATAACTGGCACCCATATGTGATCCTAGCACTTTCATGGCAAGGATTTTAGCTACTAGGGTATTGCGCTGGGCCCAGACACCTTAATTCAAACAAAGCCCCACTTATGCGAAATATGTTGTGTACATATTACATGCACCAAAGGTTGTCTTATCTCAAAGTAATAAGGGAATATATTGTCAACTATACATTAGTTTAATTTGCTTCAAGGGGAGTACATTTTATAATACAACAACATTTGGGAACTATTTTAAAAATTATAAGGAGCAAACACTAATATAAGAAGTACAGGCATATACACACCATGGTTGAAATCACAGACATTTTACCATGAAATGGATAAAAGTTTAAAATATTTATTAAAACATTTTAAATATGTTCAATTAAAGAATTAAAATATATCAAGAATGTGTAAGTATAACTCATTTGTATTTTATGGACTTATTTAGAATGTTGTATATGTACAGGCATTGAGAAAAACATTTGGGCTTGTTTATAGCAACAGAATTAGAAATTTGTGTCACTGGAAGGAATTTCTGAGGTTATGCAGTCACATTTTCTAGATATATTAATACAAACTATTCAGTGGCTTGCTTAAGCTTCCCCTACAATACAACATGAAGCTGAACTTTGCAAGATCCCCAGTTCTTTGCCTAGTGTTAGTTCCACTGTTGCCTCTCTTTTAGGGTACCAGATTACCCGCCCATTTAATTTGTTGTTTGCTTGTTTGATTTGGTTTCATGAGTGTATATACTTAGTGGTTACAGTGTGATAATTTGGTACATGTTTTCAGTGAAAGGAATTAAATCAGACTAGGGTACATTTTTGGGTTCAGCTGAAAACTGATTTTGAATTTTCAACAGTATTCCTGGTATGCTTTGCTTTTTTGATCACTCTCCACAGAATACTCATCAGTGGGAATTAATTCAATGAGCTGACTAAATTTGAATGAACTTTTCACAATTAACAATTACTGCTTTAAATTATGTCCTATTGAGAAGAAAAAAATAGATCTGTTTCAAAATAAATTGATTTTATATTCCTATTCATGAACTGCCCAACTTTAACTGCTTCTGTTAATTCCCTTTATCCCTTCTGCGTCATCTGGTATAAAGACACTAAAAAGTCATGGAAGAACAAAAGTATTGGAAAATAAAGCTAATCTTGATTTTCTGTACGTGACTTTACAGGACTAAGTAACCATGAGGGTCTTCATCTTCTCCTGCCTTTTGGCTGTTGCTCTGGCCACGCATGTAAGCACAATGGGACATATCGTGATATCAATTTATGTTTAAACCTATTTGAGGAGTATATTTTAACTATGTACAGAGGGTGCAGGCATTGGCAGCAATAAACAGACTAAGTTGTGTATTTCCATCTCTGATTAGTGATAGTTTGACTTTACCTTATACAGAATGTAGAGTTAAACAATACTTCTATAGTGTCTTCACTAAAGTATGGAGAAGGACGTAGGCTCCAGAGAAAGGACATAACTTCCCCACCCAGATGGGTTGAACATACTTTTGAACTTTCTGTAATTTTCTCATGTCCCAACATGTCTGAAAAGTAACAAAGCTCTGCTGTAATAGTTGGTGTTCCAAAGCATGTGTCAATGAAATAACAGATTTTATTGTTTTTGATTAAAAGAGAAAATGTTCATAAATTATAACCACAGAAACCCAGAAAAGGAGAGCATGTTTCTGAGTTGGTAGGTCTGGACTGGAGCACTGACCTCAAATTATTTGCCCAGTGATCTATGAGATATATTAATAGTATTCATGCAACAAAATTATATGTAATGGATAATGATGCATACATACATACAAAAGCAGCATTTATAATTTTAATCTTTCAACATTGCTACCTCCTTTATATCCAGGAGAAGTTCACATACCTTCTTACCCAATGTCTCACTCTCCCCGTAAAGTCACCTTGAACTTAGAATGCTCAGAATCCTATGCTTTAACACACGTCCCTGAATCTAAGGGAAATGTGCACACAGGCATTTGTGCCCTCTTGAAGGCACAATTTAACAGTAAACTTAAAAAGAAAATGTTACCCAAAGTTAGTTTGAATAGACCACCAAAGCAACTTAGTTGTATCACACAGGCTTCATGATTTCTTCCCTCGCTCTCTTATTGATTATTTCCCCATTATTTTGTTTAATAGTTGGCCTCCATAGCTTCTGTGAAGAGAAATGGTTATACAGCCTAACATGGAGAGGTATCATTAGCAAGGGGTGGAACAAGACATTCCATTGACTTATTGTATTTAAGATAATTTTTTATTTCTTATTAATTTCTTCTGTTTTATAACACCATTTAATAGGTGCTGGGGTCTCTCTTCTCCCTCTCTATGTTCCTTCCCCTCCTCATTCTTCTTCCCTCCAGTCTTATGGTGGACGTCTCACATGACTTTTCATAAGTCCATTATGTTGTCACTGAGGTGTCTCCAACAATGTAGGAGCTTATTAGCTGTATTGCTGTTAGCCCTTCCTTGCACTGCATGCAAGAGGACATCTGTTCCCACCTGTGAACATATTAATTTCTGTTACACTTCCTTTATGCATCCCCTTGAGTGCAATCCACCACTGGGAGAAAAAAAATATGAACATAAAAGAAAAAAAAATAGTGAACCTTCATCCACTTGAGGTTGACGAACATATAACAAAGGTCTCAATGTGGGGTGGTGAAAAAAGAGTGCCCAGCATCTTCACATAGAAAAAAAAATGCCAGCATGTATCCCATGTGGCACTGAAGAGTGAAATAATGACTAGATTATCATTACTTATGGGCAGTAGCAATAACTGTGATAAAAGGGACATTGACAATCTCAGGTGATTGTAAACAATCAGTCTCTTATGCATGATTGATAAGTGGATTACATCACAACGTATTATTACAAAAAGTACAAATAATTAGGAAGCACAATAAGATAGAATTTACAGGAAAAATCCTTAGATTTGACATCATCTTATATTAGGGCAAACATATGATATCTGATCTTTTGGAATTGGCCCATTTCCCTTAGCATAGTGGTCTCCAATTCAGCCCCATTTGGCTATAAACGATTGTATTTCATTTTTTAATAGCATACTAGTATTCCATAGAGAAGATGAATCACAGTTTCTTTATCTAGTCTTCTGTTGATGGACATTCCAGTTGCTTCCATGCTTTTGCAAATATTGCTTGTGCTCCAGTGAACATAAGGGTGCACGTTCTTTCTCATGTAGCATTTCTTTTGGATAGATTCCTAGAAGTGGTATTGCTGGGTCGTATGGTAGGTAGATTTTCAGTTGCCTAAGTATTCTCCATACTGACCTCCAGAGTGGTGGCACCAGCCTGCAATCCCACCAGCAGTGGAGTCGGGTTCCTTTTTACCTGCAACCTTGCCCCTATTCCACTAAATTCCCCCCAGCCCCAAAAACAGGGCTTTTTAAACATGTTGTCATTAAACAGTGTAGACAAAGATTGATGTTGGAATTTTAAATAACTCATAAAATAATTTTTTTTATTGATACAGAAGATCAAGGAGCGCAGTGAGGTAAGTTCCTGGCACCTGATAACATGTACACAGGGTAGATTTCTCTGTGGGAGTGACCAGAACCGTTAGTGCTGCAGAATCATGGAAAACTTGCTCAAAGCGCCTCAAATGTCCTGACAGAATTGTTCTGTTCTCCTGATATGTACTTAATATGAAAATCTAGGAGCGGGAAAGATAAAAGGAAACTACAGAGAACAAATAAAATTACTCTTTCCTTTTTATTAGTATGCAAGATGTAATAGGGTTGCCACATTTGTAAATTGAGAGTTCAGAGTAAGTTATACGGAATGTAGAGTATAATGAGCTATTTACCAATAATATGTAAAAATGTTGATGCAATTTACTCTTCATTTGAATCAAAGGCTAATCTTGTCTTGACTTAACATATGATAAATATTTCTTGATAATTCTGTAATAGTGCAAAAGATATTCAGAAGCATATAAAAATATGTATATCAATTTTTTTTCCCTAAGGATCGTGTCAACCTTTTTCAAGAAGTAAGTCATAATTTTCTGTATCACATACATTTAAAACAATTTGGCATTTTACATTGCTAAAACATAGATCTCACCTTTTCCCAGGAATACAGGCAGGGCAAAAATATGGCCTTCCAAAAAAAGCAGATAAAATTGATTTGTTGATGCTTTGAGTATGAATTCAATTATGAGTTATTTTCCCTCTTAGCAATATACATATTTTCAACTCTGAAAAAAAGTTTGTATAGTCTTTACTGCTGTGAAATTATTTAAAAGGATTCCAAGAAAATTTACGTGTTTCACTTGTGAACTGTGTCTTTATCCTACTTATGAGCTGCCACTCTCTTACTAACTACCATTTTAGATCACCATTCTGAAGTTTCTCAAGGTTATTATATGTTAAAAAGGCAAAAAAAAAAAAAAAACCCACACAGGAATTACAGTGTTAAAGTAGCTCTTCAATTAAGATTGAATTTACTCTAATTTTGTTTGGAAGAAGGCACTTGCTTCAAATTCAATAAAACCATGGTTTCAAATATGATTGCCAAGGATAGTTTAATTCTGCTAACCAAGATCAAAGCAGGTACTTTTCCTAATTCAACTTATAATGCAATGAAAGCTATATGAACCATTAGTCACCTAACCACATCTCCAGTCAGTTTCCACAAATAGAGACTTATGATCTTACTTAGGCTAATATTTAATATTTTTCTCAAAATTTCCTCTTATTTAAATGTTTATTTATAGAAACGTCATGTAACCTTTAATCAGTATCTACTGCTCTAATTATAAGTGCTTCAAATACACATTAAAATAACTGCATAGTTATTCTAGTTTTAAGGTACCCAGCAGGGCACAGCCTAAATTACCTGTTGTATTACTCATTTAACAGACACTTAGTGAAAAAGAGCTATGCCTTAGACTATATTCTAGGCTCTGGGATACAACAGTGAATACATTTGATAAAATGCCTCACTCATGATAATTACATTTCAGTTTACCACCGGCAGCACACTTATTACCAACTTGGAAATTTTAATATACTTCTTATAGACATGCACAGTGAAAATGAATTCTTACATCTGCTACTTTTTTTTTTCTATATTCAGTGTAGCCTAATTGATACACTGTAACATAAAATAATACTGTAGGGATTATATATTTTGAGTGTCACTAAACTATGATTTTATTTTTGCTTATATTCTTGAAGGTAACCTCTAGTGTTTCATCCAGTGAGGTAAGATATTGGCTCCTTTCTTATCAAAGAACCAGTCTGTTCAGAAATAATCATGTTATATACAGTAGTTGAAGAGTTCCTAGCAAGCACACTTCTAAACATTCAAGGACAGAAATAGGAAAATCATATTCTTCACATGATTTATAGTAATTGACTATCTTCATGCTGCACTTTGTTATCCCTGAAAAGGTAGCTGTGACTGTAAAATCTGGTTTTGCCTTGAAGGTTCTGCCAAATCCAGAGTTTATCAATTATCTTCATCAGTATTTGCAAATCCATGTAATATGGTTTAAAGGTATGATTCTCAAGAGGTTATTCCCAGATAAGTAGCATCAACACCATCTGAAAATTCAGTAAATATGTAGAATAGTAGGTCCCACAATAGATAAATGCATCAGAAACCAAAAATTAAATGATCTATATTTTAGCAAGGTCTCTCAATGTGATACTATTGCACATTTAACATTGAGAAGCACTTTTAAAGGAGTCAAAGAAGGGATTAGTTTAGGGGCTACCTTGATAACCAACACCTGAAAAAGCCAGGATGTGAGTCTGTCTCAATAGAATGGTGAGTAGCAATGTGGAGTATGGCCAAGAACCTTGTGGCCTGATATGTCACCTAAATTCTTCATAGTTGCTGCCTTACATGTTTGCTTGCACCTTTTTCCAATAGTGAGTCCACCTAGAGAACTCTGAGACATTTCCATCATTTCAACAAAGATGCAACGTTTTGTTCATGACATTGCTGAAGGGGAATTTGATAACTGTTTGGTCACCTGCCTATACTTTACACACATATAAAATTGTCTGAAAAATAAAGCATCAATATAAAACATAATTAGCCACTCTATTATAGAGTTCTTATAAGTATTTTAATTATTAATAAATGATGTCTCTCAATACTAGAGAGTTGAGCTAAATATTTCAATAACTGTTTCTAACATTTTACTAAAATCATCTCAATATTAAACCTGTTAAGTAAAAATATTTCTCATCTTGTTCCTTTAGGAATCCATTGAAGTACCAACTGAAGTAAGTAATTATCATCCAAACAAATTAGTATCATTAATACCATCTTATTTGATATTTCTCCAACATGTGCTTTGTTTTTTTGACAGAAAAATGAGCAGATTGAGGAAGAAAATGTCTATATGAAACAGTTGGTATGTTTTTCATGTGATATATTTTTTTTCAATAATAGAATAACATTTTACAACTTTATCCTTCTTCCAAATAAAGATGTGAATCTTTATCATATCCTCTCAGTAAAATTCTCACATTAACAGCAAATTGATTATCAAATTCATTTTTCCTAGTGTTGTGACTGGGATACTAAAGATTATCTGAACAAGTAGTTCCAGATTCATCTTTTAAGAAATGTTAACAATATTCGTAAAATAGGAAGCTGTGAAAACCTCAGAAAATTATTTTGAAATTTTAGTGGTCTGCTTAATATAGAACTGTATCATTTCATCACTACTTAAAGTGATGACAGGGATTGGTAAGGCCAAAAATTGTTTGTGTTTCTCATTCTAAACCAGAGAGGATCATATAACCCATCTCACTTGTTTAGAAAAATGTGCAGGCTTCAACTTCAGTTCCCAAGTGTTATTCAACTTCTGCAAGCTGTTTTTCTCAACTCAAAAATGAAGTTGGTAAGACTTCTCTGTAAATTTTTATGAGTGTAATGCTAGCGTGTTTAGGTAAATTGTATAACAGAAAATTCAATACTATTTTTTAAAAACCTGAAAATGTGAGAATTAGTATCAAATACATCACAGGAAAAAAAATGTGTTCTTTTTTTTAACAGAAATAGATCTTATTGAGGAATTCAAGCTAGATCTCTAAAAGTATTTTGTGCTAAAAAAAAAAACCTTATAACTGTCTAATAAAAATTCTTCCACTCTGTCTAAAACCTTCTAATACAATGTGTCTTCCAGTAACTCATTATAATTAAATTCCATCCAACATTGTTTCAGGCCATTTTAAATATATTCTGCATACTTAGTGCTGACCATCTATTGAACCTCAGACACCACTAAAGTAAAGATACATTTTAACTGATTCCAATTTTAATTTACTCAGTAATTTATAGTTAAATATATGTAGTCAAATCAAATAGGAACATAGAGTATTTATACTTGAGTGGGAAATATGTCCATTTATTTCTCAATTAATTTAAGAACTCAAGGTAAGTGATGATCTGAGAGGCCAAGCAGGGAGCATCAGACCTGCGTGGAGTTCCTGCTTCTGCTTCAGTCTGCCCCAGCTACAGCTGTCACTGGAGAGTGAACCAGGAGATAGGATCCCTTTCTCTCTGTCTGTCTCTCTCTGTCTCTCTCTGTCTCTCTCTCTTTCCCCCTCCCTCTCTAGCCCCGCCTCTTTCCCTTTCTTTCAAAGAAATGATTTTTAAATGAAAAGAATTCCATTAACTGTAAATTTGCTTTAAAAATGCACACACTGTACAAAAAATTTCAAATATTCACACACTATCTCAGGGTTTTGCTTGATCAATTTGATACAATTTTAACATTAAGTTTTGTCCAGATAATGTTGTGGTCCATGAAAAAGGTTCAATGCTTCTGCAAATATTGATACTATGTTTTCCCTCCAGAACCAAATCATCAAGAAGTTCTATCAGAAATTTTACTTTCCACAATATCCTCAAGTGTACCAGCAACGGATGTTTATGAACCCACAGACCCAGATGAAGACAACTGCTTATCCTGTGCCCGTTTATGTGAGTTCTACACTTTTTGTTATTTTCTTATTTTGATATCAGGTTTTTTTTTAAAGATTTATTTTTATTATTTTTTCACTGGAAAGGCAGATATACAGAGAGGAGAGACAGAGAGGAAGATCTTCCATCCGATGTTTCACTCCCCAAGTGAGCGCAACGGCCAATCCTATGCCGATCCGAAGCCAGGAGCCTCTTCCGGGTCTCCCACGCGGGTGCAGGGTCCCAAAGCTTTGGGCTGTCCTCCACTGCTTTCCCGGGCCACAGGCAGGGAGCTGGAAGGGAAGCGGAGCTGCCAGGATTAGAACCGGCGCCCATATGGGATCCCGGGCGTGCTAGGCGAGGACCTTAACCACTTGCACCACCGCGCCGGGCACTGATATCAGTTTTTTTAAAGTAATTAAAACTACTTCAACTGTTCTAATTTGCAAAACAAAACAAATTTAGACAACATTACGACAAAAATTAAATCATATTGCCAAAATACTATCGGAAAGAGTTTTAATGATTGCAAGCTTAATTGAACTTGGTTGTTTCAGTTCCTGAGTTGGTTGTTATCTCCCTCCATCCTGACAGAAAGCCTTAAAGGTAGGCAGGGAAGAAAAATCCACATTTTATAAAAGAATTGAAATTTAATGAAATTAAATATCTTGCAAGTGTTCTGGCTCATGATTCTTTTTTTAATAAAGATATTTGTTTAGGGACCTTTTGTGAACACAAGTATTAAGTGGCAGAGCAAGAAATTGAATCTAAGAAGCAAGTACTTATTTATAATTATAATAATATCTAGGCAAAATTCAGGAAACTGATGCCACATCTATCAAAGGCAGATTACATGTCTATATGACATTGGACATGTCAGTGGATTTACTAGGTGACCCTTAGAAATAAAGTTATCAGCATTATTAGAGGAAATAAGAAATTTTCTTTTAAAATTCTAAATGCCTAAAGAACATCTTCATATTCAAAATCTATTTTTCTGTGAAATTGAAAATTCTGAGATTTTATTATGTCCACAAGTAGCAGAGTTGAGAAGTTAAGTCTGTAAACAAGGAATTAAGCCAGGATCTTATCATAAACAGTAAGAAAGACTGCTAAATAAAGTTCTTTTTATGAATTTACATCAATATAAATGGCTACAGGAGCAAAGCATACATGGTACTCTACACAAGTTTGAACCTGGAGGGAATGCACTTCCCTAGAAGATTAACTTCTGAAACAGCTTGTCAAAGCTCATATCCACAATGATAGAATAAAAGTCAGTCTTCTAACCAATATAAGATAATATCGATTTTGATGATAATAATTTGGAATATGACATGAGTAAATATGAACTAAAAACACATGACAGAAATAACTATAAAGCAAAAGTCTGAATAGTGTGGTACCTAGACAAGATACTTGCAAAAGCATCCCTTAGCATCTGAGTGACGTTTTCTGTTATATGAAGATCTGTTATATTCTCACAAAATAATTACAATTTACATAGACAACATATGTGAAAGTGCAGACTTGTCTGTTTCTTGGGATGGAAAATAAACTATATAAAGTGGTCTGTCACTATCGTAAAAAAGAGGAAAGCAAGGCATCTCAGTGATCAGTTTTAAACATAGAACTACAGTTTCTTTTCCCATAGATCCTTTTGGACTTAGTCACCCTCTATCTTGTTGAAACATTTCAGTAGCATTCAGCATATGGTATCTATCTTCCGTACATTTCCATATTTACAATTCTGAATTTTAAAAGGTGGCAACTGGCATCTACATACACTTCAACTAATATTAAGTATAACAAATATGTTTAATTAGAATCATCATCTCAGGTACAGAACCATTTATGTATTACATTAATTTTTTTTTCAAAAAAGTCTCAATATTTGGCTTTTTTTTCTACTGGGATACAAAATTAAAATTTTATTTCAGTTTTAATGTGGGAAAAAGAACACAGCTTATCCAGTGATGTGATGTATATTCCCATGAGATCATTATTTTGATATTCAGTATGATATTAAATTCTAAATGATGCTGTCTTTATTCTAAATTTTAACTTTTTAATGTGTGAAGTTAGAATTATAGAATTAGATAAAGCTAAAACAGAAAGTGCAGAAATAATTAGAATTATTTATGGAAGCAGAGTATAATTGTAAAATTTGAAGTCAGCAATATTAGATTTGGTACTACCAGACCACAGAAAAAAATGTTCAATACCAGTTATTGCAGAATAAGGACTCAATTCATAGATGCACTGTTCATTTCCAAATAATATGTCACCCGTGTTATGAAGTATATGCCTAAAAATATGGGAAATATATTAGCTCAAAATAACACTTGAATAGATATGTAATTAAAGTGAATAATTTGTCTTTTTTTTGAAGGAAATGACCAGAATCCCCCAGGAGGTAAGGAATAATTACTAAAAATAAATGTAATTATAAATGTTTTTTGTTTGTTTCATTATGGTTATGGGTATCATTCTCTTTACATGGAATCTATATGACTCAGCTGATGAGTTATATTTATTATTTCTATGAGGAATGGAGATCTTACAATTTAGTGATTTTTGTCTTTATGATATACATTCCCATAATTTTTCATAATAAATACAGCTGCTTGTATAAATAAGTGTTTACCAAATCCTTTCTCTGAGGATTTCTTCAAGAGAAATTTTACATAAAGCTTACAAAAGCACAGATAAGAATAAATACATTTGTAGAGACACCTTATAATAAATATTGCATTGCTAAAACTGCTTCTCCATATAGTAGAAATGAAACTGTTAAAGTGAATCATTTATTTACAGAATATGGATTTCTCTTGTTATAACATAACGTGAATTCTAGGCAGCCAATACATTGAAAACAATGTGTTTTAATTCTTTTTTCTTCCAGAGAATCATCAGGAAGAATGCTGATATGGTAAGGATTTCATATATATTCAGCTTTATTTGATTTAAACTGTTAATGAAAAGGAGCGGCATGCCTTGAAATGCCCTTTGTTTGGGAATCAGAAAAGCATTGTTCTGATTTCATAAAAATACATTATGAATTGGCTCCCAAATTGTGCTTCCCTTAATTACTCTTCACTATCAACGTATTTCCATTTTTATCTATTTATATTCATTTATATTTTGTATGTTTTATATTATTTTAAGTGGTTAATTATTAAATCTTTAAAGAACATCATTTTTCTTTCTTCTGGAATAATTTTTGCCTGTCATCATGATACTAATATTGGCAAGATGAAGAAATCCATCAGCCTGCTGTTGGGTTTTTAATACTGGAAAATGTTATTTACACTTTTATTGTTTTTCTTTTTGATTTCTCAAGAACACATCTACCAATGAATTCAGTAAAGTAAAATACTTTCTTTTTTAAAAAAAGTCATAGCATCCAGCAATAATACATATTTCTGCTTCTGTATTTTTTAGTGAATTAGTAATTGTCAATTTTTAGGTCACATTAAAGTCTACAATAGAAATAGAAGAAAAATTATTCAGTAATAAGCATTTATAAACTTACTCTTTAAGTTTGGATCTGTCATAATATTTTCTGCATCCAAATGAGCCCATCATTTAACCTCAAAGAAATACTTGAAATGAGAGTCATAGATTTCAGTGAATAAAATCCTGAAAAATTATGTGGAGCCTCTTCAATTTCTAAAGGTCAGACAGGAAAAAGTAAACCATAAACAGAGAAGCGTAGCTTGGTTATTGAAAAAATCCCCTCGGGCCTCATTACATTATGTGTGTATTTATTTTTTTGTCAAACATTCAGTATCTGGATTAACTAAAGGCTCAATCTACAGGTTACTCTGCAACAGAAATCTTTATAGTGAATTTTTTAAATCAGTCAGTACATGTTTGGCTATCTCTTCTTGGCATACTTCAGGAATTTAAATACATTTATAGCTAATTTAGGTCTGTCTAGTTCTCTTTTGAGCCACAGGAGAAATTAAATGTAGAATGATTATTAATAATTTTGTTTCTTTTTAGGTCAAATTCAACCAGTTTCACCAGTTGGTCATCCCCCAGTATTTCCAGGCTCTGCAGCAAAAGCGGATGGCTATGAACCCTTGGTTTCGCATAAACCCTTATCACCCTCTTCCTGTTTTGGTATGTTTGCCCTTTTTTAAGTAGTAAAATTGTAATTTAAATTGTAAGATTGCAATACAAAGAATATAAGAAAAATATTCCCAGATTTTTTAGGAGATTAGATCAAAGTTAACTGAACATGTCAAAGCCAGTAATTTTTAAAAATCTATATCACAAATAAAACAACATGCAGCCATAGTGAAGGTGGCAATGAATTGCATTCCTACAGAATTTTTAATTTTTAAGCATATATTCACCTATACAGATAGATAGATGTTTCTTTTTACTCCTTTAATAATCCAATCAATTGGAAAGCTATAACATTATTTAATAATAAAATATGAAATTTAAAGTAGAGCAAATTTCCCAAGTTCATCTTTATTTAGTACAAGCGTTTTGGCTTAGAATGCCATAACATGAATTGTTAGAATTTTCAACCAATATATTGATGGGGCAAGCAGCACATGAGGCGGTTACATAAATTATCTGCACTCACAGTGACTGTGACCAGTTGAAGAGCCAGGAGACCAAGCTAAGCCCCTTCCACAGAAAAACTGCACTGCAGAAGCAACCCAATATCTGTGTGCCACTTCGAGGCTAAGGGGGAAGGGCAAATCTAACCTTGACTACTTTTGTTTGGTTCTTTTGACAAGGTACAGGTATCCGTTCACTTCATGTAAAAGTATCAGGTAACTTGAGTAAATTGCACAAGAACTTACAAGTCGAATGAAAAGAAAATGACTTGATTGATCATATTATGGTATTAAATTTAGGAAAAACAGAAAAAAGTTATAAGCCAAAATCAAAGGCAAAATCTAAGGCTAAAAAAGCTGAAGAGAATAGAATAAGTTTAAAGTAAAACTGAAGATTTCCTATAAAGTAAATTATGAAGGGTTTACTTTTAAAGAATCATAAAATTTTGCAGTAGTGATTTTGCTAGATATAATTATTTGACAAATCTAAAATCCAATTAAGTATAGAAGTGCCTATTATGAGGAATAATAGCATATTTTATGACTAATAAGTTACATGAACATTAAGAGTTCCTTAAAACTTGCTGAAATACGTGAATATTCTTATTTCATGGAAACATGTGTAATTTGGTTTTATTTGCTAATGAATCTCTCACTTGAAAACTTATAAATTATGTAGATCCTAGAAAAAATAATTAGAAATAACTAAATAACTAAATAGTCATGCTCTATTCAGAGCCTTTAAAAAATGTTTAGGTATATTATATGCAAATATGTCCACCTAATTTGTTTATTCTGGAGTATACAATATTTAAATAATTTATTAATTTTTCTTTCTTCATAGGCTTAATTGGAAAAAAAAATCATTCCTAAATAGTTTTCTCATCTATGAAAACACCTCTACTATCAATATCTTTCGGAATTTTGGTGAAAAGACACCGATGTACAGGCAAAAAGGAAGATTGTGTGGAACGTTTTCTATGTTGTTGATTTTATTTTGAGTTTATGTTGGATGTAGCAGCTCTTGATTGTGGCTATATTAATATGAATTGATTACTTGATGTCTTTTCACTATGTCTGAGATATAGACTATGTATCTCTTAACAAAACATTAAAATTTTGAATGCATTTTTATCTATGTGGATTTTTTTGTCTTGATTGTCCATGCTGAAAGAGCTGGTCCTGTTACTGGGATGACCATTTCGATAATTACTCTCTATAACTACATTGAGACATAAAATAATCTGACACATATTTGGGGTCCCCAGTTCCCAGCATGCCTCTCACTGCTGTTATCTCTAAACACTGCTTACATATGTATGCATGTATGTATGTATGTTATTATGGATTTCAACTATGGTTGTATGTTCAGTCCTCTTTAGCCCTCATGAAAAAAAAAAATCTCTACAACTGTTCCTGCAGCCATCTGTCTACCCCAAACAACTCCCACCAGAGTTAATAGGTCTGCAATCACAGTTAGCACCTAACCACATGGTATCTCACAATATCACTAAAAAGTGGGTCTCTATCAACTAAAACCTTTGAAGACTTGCTAATCAGAGGCTTACACACCTTTCAACAAATATTGATCAACTGTGATACAACCAGGCACTTTTTTTTTTTTTAAGATTTATTTTTATTATTTTTTTATTGGAAAGGCAGATATACAGAGAGGAGAGACAGAGAGGAAGATCTTCCGTCCGATGATTCACTCCCCAAGTGAGCGCAACGGGCCGATGCTATGCCGATCCGAAGCCAGGAGCCTCTTCCGGGTCTCCCACGCGGGTGCAGGGTCCCAAAGCTTTGGGCCGTCCTCGACTGCTTTCCCAGGCCACAGGCAGGGAGCTGGAAGGGAAGCAGGGCTGCCGGGATTAGAACCGGCGCCCATATGGGATCCCGGGCGTGCAAGGCGAGGACCTTTAACCACTTGCGCCACCGCGCTGGGCCCCAACCAGGCACTTTTTAAAAAGATTTATTTACTGTTACTTGAAAGATTTTACAAAGAGGGAAGGAAAGACAAAGAGATGGTCTGTCATCCACTGGATCATTCCCCAAACTGCCACAACAGCCAGATCTGAACTGATCCAAAACTGGGAGCCAGGAACTTCTCTTCCTGGTCTCCTACATGGGTGTAGGTTTCCAAGGACTTGGGGTATCCACTACAACCTTCCAAGGCCATAAGCAGAAAACTGAATCTGAAGTGGAGTAGCTAGGACTCCATCTGGTACCCTTATTACAGGCTGGTACCAGAGGTGGAGGCTTAGTCTGATGTAACACGTGTCAGGACCCAGTGAGGCACTTTTCTAAACACTCTTTTATAGCAAAAGGAAAGATAAGGATGTTGGGTTCCTAGTGCTCACATTTTAGCCACGTGGAGCAAGCTAACAAGCAAGATTCAAAACATCAGGTCATGTACATACAGTTTCACTAAAGAAGAACAGGACATAGAACAGGAAGGAAAGAGAACATCTGCAAGTACGGCAGAGCACCTGAGTTCAATAAACCGCCCTGGCTCCTGACTCACTTCACTGCTAATGAAGATCCTGGGAGGCAGTTGTGATGGCTCTAGTATTTGGGATTCCTGCTGGCTTGAATTCCTGGCTCACAGTGTCAGCCCATCTCATGGGCATTTGAGGAGTGACCTGTGGATGGAAGCTCTTTAACTCTTTCTCTGTACATCTCAACTAAATAAATAAAATATTTTAAATATTACTAGAAAGCTCTTAAGAAAGACAAAGGCAAGGCAACCAAAAGACATTTTAGAAAGGGCAGTCATAGAAGGCAATTTTGGCAGGTTGAAGTTTGAACAACGAATTGAACATAGTGGAAGAGGGAGGGGGCAAACTATTCACACAGCTCTGAAAGAAGAAACAATAATTGAAAATTATTTGAGAAAGCTACGTATTTAGTTTCATGAAACTAAGAAAGAGCTGATATGTGTGAAAAGGCATTGGGTGGACAGAATTGAAAAAAATACAACAGCAAGCAAGATGGAAGAGGTGACTTGAAATATTTAACTAGATTTGGAAATCTCACACCTTTTTTAATACTTATTTGAATCAGGTCAAAATCTTCAAATTATATATTTATTCCCTTTGTAAATTTAGGTTCACAATGTTTCCTGGACACTTAAAAGTGCTTTCAAAGTGTGTCCTTGTCATGGTTGGAGATACCTACCCCCTCTTCTTTCAAAACTCTCAGCAGCTTCTTTGTTCTCAAGATGACTCTCATGACTGGAAAAGAATCTCTAGCTATGTCATAAAGAATGCAGAAACCACACCAGTGACCCTTGTTAACTTAATCTAAGTTCAAACATTAGTATAGCTAAAGACACACTGATCTTATAGCCCACAGCCCTCTTCTCTTTCTTGTAATTTGCATTCTCAACAATGTTGTTTTTGGTAAGAATCAGTGCGGTAAAAACAGTAATAGAGATTTTAACAACTAAAATTTGCAATTTTATGTCATATTATATGACAAAAATCAGCAATGATATCATCTTGAGTGTCATCCCCTCCATGTAACCTCTCTGTCACTCTGTCTCTGTCAGACTTGTGCCTAAGTGACACTTTCTCAAGCCACAAATGCTGAATGTTATCATAAGCTTCACTGAGAGAGTCAGGAAGCCCAACAAGACATCTGAGAGAAAAACTCCTAAAGCATTAGGAGTTACATTTTAGTAATTATTGTGATGCTTGTCCTTGGACTAATTTTTCATATAGGTTTCATTAATCCCTTTTTCTAAAATTAGATATTCTCCAGGGTTTTGACCTCAGCTTCTTTGTTCTTTGACTTTATGCATTTTCATTTTGCCTGTTTATTGATTAATTGATTAATGAATTAATTTGAAAGACAGAGTCAGAGAGAGAGAGAAGGGAGACAGACATTTTTTGTCTGCTGATTCACCCCTTCCAAATGTCTGTTACAACCAGAGCTGGACTGTCCAAAGCTGGGAATCAAGAGCTTCTTGCAGGTCTCTTATGTGTGTGCAGAGGCCCAGGTACCAGGTCCATTTCTCTGCTGCCCTCCCAGGTGCATTAGCAGGCAATTGTTTGGAAGTGGAAAATAAGCGACTCAAATGGCACCCATGTGAGATGTTGGTGATGCAGGTGGAGAATTAGCCCGCTATGTTGCCAATTTAGCCTCATGTGAATCCAAATCTTTGAAACCCATTTCTACTTATTCAAAAAAAGAGTTACAAAATGCAAACTTGGAAATTTGTAATGTGAGTATACACAGATACATTCTGTTTATAAGAAATTCAAACAAAAATATGCTCAAGTTAATTAGAATCAGCTCTGCTCTGACTGTTGTGACCACTTGGAGAGGGAACCAGCAGATGGAACATCTTTCTCTCTGTATCTCCTTCTGTCTCCAAACCTGACTTTCCAATTAAAAAAAATTAAAAACGATAGTGAATAATTTCAGTGAGTGTAAGTTGATCAACATGTTTGAGAAATGGATTTTCTCTTAGCTCTTCAGGACAGTTCTACTAGATCTTGAGATCTTGTTTTGACCAAAAAGTTTAACCTATGTGAACAGTTCCAACATGCTGCCCATTTTCCAGTATTTTCTCAGTGTAACTGTCAGAACAAACTCTGGCCCATATGAAAATACACATGCTTACTAACTGTTGCTGATAAAGAAGCTAACTGAACAAATGATGACTACATAATAATATAAAGCTTTGTTCACTGCCTGATCACATCACAGTTTGATATTAACATTCATTGCATGAAGTAAACCACTGGAAAGAAAGAATTAATGCTGCAATTTTTGCTGTGACATAACAGAAATTATTTTTATAATTTAAAGTCTACTAAATAATGTATTTTAGTGATTTTAATTAATAAATTAATTTGATAAGTAGTGAGATAGGGCCAGCCAGGTTTTGTATTCATTGGCTTGTATACGTTTCTCCAGTTGCCTGTAATAGCTGGGTCTGGGGCTAGAGCTAGAAATTCAATACAGGTCTCCTGTGTGGCGAGATGAAATTCAACTACTTGGATCATCAGAGTCTGCATTCAAGGATCTGCATTAGCAGGAAGCTTCAGGAGTGGGACTGGGTGTTGAACACAGCTGCTTTCTATAGGATTCTTGCATGGTAATCACTATTCCAATCACCTACCCCAAAAATATTATAATTCAGATATTTTAGGAACAAATGTTAAAAGAAATAATAAAAATATGAAAGAAAAGAGTTTGGCAACAACTTTTTATTTTGTGTTTTCTTTTAAATATGATACATTTAGACCACATATTTCATGTACTAAGGAATGTAGAGAAGCAAAATGAAATTTAAAAGTTTAGACACACATTACCGTTCGTAGCTGAACTGCACTTTTGGAGGTTTATTTAAATTAATACTTCCAAAGTCATTTAATTTCCATTTATAAAATGTGTTCTCCATTTTTATCACTTTCTGAATTAAAACCAGGATCACAACCAAAGTTTTTGAGGCAGAAAAAATATCATGATAATTTTATTCTTCCCTTCAGGGACAAGGATCAAAATAAATCATATATTTAAGCATAAACACATCAAATTATACCATTTTTATTCTTCTCTTAGTTGTGTATAATAAGTCAAATTATCTACTTCACATAAGTTACTTGTCGGTTTTATGTTTAATAATAAAAGTATCGGGCCCGGCGCGGTGGCGCAAGTGGTTAAAGGTCCTCGCCTTGCACGCCCGGGATCCCATATGGGCGCCAGTTCTAATCCCGGCAGCCCCGCTTCCCTTCCAGCTCCCTGCCTGTGGCCCGGGAAAGCAGTCGAGGGCAGCCCAAAGCTTTGGGAACCTGCACCCGCGTGGGAGACCCGGAAGAGGCTCCTGGCTTCGGATCGCATAGTATCGGCCCGTTGCGCTCACTTGGGGAGTGAATCATCGGACGGAAGATCTTCCTCTCTGTCTCTCCTCTCTGTATATCTGCCTTTCCAATAAAAAAATAATAAAAATAAATCTTTTAAAAAAATAATAATAAAAGTATCAAATCAATCACAGCTTCACTGTTAATAATATTGTAAAATTAAAGCTCGTTGATATAAAGAAATAATTTATTCCAACACAAAACTTTGTTGCAGCAGTTGTTTGGCACAACAGTTCACATGTTGCTTGGGATTCTG